CAAGGGTATACGATTTATTGCCAAGAAGCATTGTGACAACAAATAAATAATCTACCAAACACACATTTCCTTACTTTTTGTGTTAATTGTATAACCTCTTAACCATTTCCCAGTTTGGCCAGTCCTCCAACCTCACTCCCCCCCTGCCCAAAGACACAAAGAGAGAAGGCATGACATCAGCTTGCTGCAGCTCGACTCTGAGGTCACCACCACGCTGGCTCTGTCGGTCCTCGCCTCCCTAAACCCATTTAACTGCTCTGTGAGTCAAACATCTTGGCAAGCATTGAGCAGAAGAAAAACAAGATGTTAGCAACAAGCTACAGTGGTTATTGTTGGCAACAACAGCAGGCCAAATAGAGTTATAAGGCAGTGTAAAGACAGCCGGGGGTCCTTATGCAACCCCACATTTGTGAGGAATACATGATGCCTGAGACAGGAGAAGTGTCCAGGACATGGCTCACATGGAGAGAGAGAGGCAGCAAATTATCTCTGAGTCTAGTTTAAGATTTTGAGAAGCCAGACTGGGTTGTATAATGTCTTAATTCAACTCATTTGTAAGTCTTTGCAATGCAATGTTAGTGTCATCTGTGTTTCTGTTGCAATTTATTTGATAGCAGCCACAAATGCTAAAAGATAACGTAGTGAAAAACACCATGGCAGCTACTCCCCAATGTAAGGTCAACATGAACAAAAGATTGCCCCACGGTTTTGTGTAGTAAAGAAAATGCTGTCGGACTACAACACTTCATTTCGCCCCGAAAGCAACCCCCTTTATTTCCTAACCTGACCTGAGATTGAGTCATCACAAACAAAATAGGGTAAATTACTCTCTGAGGTTAATTGTTTGTGACAGAACTCAAAGGCTCTTAGACCAATGCAATGAAACCTAGAACAGAGAAATCTGGGACAAAGTCAGTGACTGTGTCTTCTTCTCATGCATACTTAATTCAACCTATGGGGAGCACGCAGATCCATAACAACATAAGAAGGAATGAACATATTATTTCTTTTGTAGGGGTCTTTGCATGGCCTTTACGACCATATTCACTCCTCTATGACATTCATTTGCATGGAATCAGAAGGCTAATGAAGTAAGGCCTACATTTCCATGCACAATTATGTAACCCAGCAGATTGGCATGCAAGCTGTAGCCACAGGCCAGCGTCAATCATTGCCATGGTATGCTCATGACACTCATTTTTAAATAATTATCATCCGATAAAACAGACCAGTCTCTGCCAGTCTTTTCTTTTTTTTTTTTAATCCGATGACATTATCAGTGATTTTAAACTGATTAATTACCGAAGTAACATCAACACTGTGGGCGGCGCCATTTTACCGGACGTGACGTAAACCATGCGTTTGGTTTCGAGGACACGTTGATGTTCATGTTATTTACTGTAGTTACTCTCTTCAAATATGCCTCATTGTATCGCGAAACATTGCCACAATTCTGATAGGAACAATCCACGGAATGCTCGGTTCCATCTGTTGCCAAAAGGGAAGCGTAGGAAGTACGTTCGGAGGCAGTGGCTAGCGAAATGTGGCCGGCCCGAACCGAAAGATCCACAGGCGCATGTATGCAGCGAACATTTCAAGTTTCCGGACGACTACTCTGAGAGTATGATAAAACATAACATGGGATTTATTGAACAACCATTACTTAATGGAGATGCAGTACCATCGGTCTTTCTGGTGTCGTCACCGACCAGGACACCAGTTCGGCCAGTTGAGAAATCGCCCTCTGCAAGTGTGAAGCGACGGAGGCCTCTTCACCTACCCGGATACAAACCGGAGGAACCAGGCATGGAGGGAGGTGGCAGAGACAGTGGGTGAAACTGGTAGGTTTTCGCCTGTTTGGGGAGTTTATATATATATATATTGCTCCCATAAAATCCCCGGGGGTTTTTGCTTTGTATGTCGGGGGCGGGAGATTCATGTGATTGGTTGTTGGTCGTGTTGCTTGAATAACATCCCCAAGCTTCAGACACGCCCAGCTCCAAGCTTTTTTTGGAGCTGTAGTGTGGAAGCTCCGTTAAGAATAAGGTATGTTATAGCGCATTTCCATTGCAGCGGGTAGCCCCGTTTAAACGTCCTTTATCGTCCAGGCCAGGCCACTTTTTGGTGGCCTTTCCATATAGCGTAGTACCGGCTAGTGGGTATTTTCCCCCAGTTTTTCCGGCCCCAAAAAATCGTGGTTCTAGGTACACCACGAAATCTAAAATGAAAATTGTAAATAAGCAATCTGTATGTAAAAAACCACCTGTATGTAAATTGTAAATAAGCCATCTGTATGTCAAATATATCTTATATGTCTTAAATGACATGATGAATTGGAAATGGGGGACCCTGATGTAAACAAGACGAAAGTCTTTCTCTGGTCTGCATCCCCTTAACAATTGTATGTTTTGAGCTGTACTGTACTGTACCCAATATACAAGCTGTTAATAAACTTTTCAATCAATCAATCAATCAAACCATTCATGTACAGGTCTTCCTACTCGCCTCCCGAAATCAATTGCACGAGTAAAGGGATCGTCTCCAGCAAGATCACCGTGCTGTTCATCCTCATCGTCACTGTTCCTGGATTCCTGACGGTTCTGACTACTTGGCTCGAACCTGTATGGCTGAATTCCCCCATCCAATCTCTTCATATTGCTCAAAACTTCTTCCTCGGCTGACGAGTCCGAACTCAAATACTCCGCCATGTTTTCGTGTGTTTACAAAGTGAACGCATGGATGACGTCACGACCATCACGTGACTACTGAAAATGGCCAAAATGGCAGCGGCCTGACGGAATATACAGGTTTTGATAAAAAAGAGCTATAAAATCATTATTTACCGGGGAATATCGCTGATTTCTTCAGGGTATGGTTTAAACATAATGTTTCACTAAATACTGAAGTTTTGATTAATTATCTAATGAGTGGAGCATTCCTTTAACCAATAACGGTTCTTAATGCAGAAGCCTTCACTGTGGTGTCATTGATCCCGCGTTTTAAAGATAAACAGAGAGCTCGTGTTTATGTTAGCGGACATTGCTGCAGCTCCAGCTGAAACGAGGGTGTATGAGCGAAACATGTTACATAATGTCAGATCCCCACAGAGTCCACGTGATCAATGTGTTATTGCCAGCCATAATGCATGTATGTCAAAACCAAACATGGCAATATAGCTAAATATTTGTTTAAAATCTTTAAATTCTCAATCTGAAACTCGAGGCGTAGCATTCTGCCTAAACGTCTTTACAGCTTTAAATGTCCCTTATGTTGCAAACTCAGAAGCCTACAGGAAGCAAACGTGCAGAGACATGACAACAAAACAACAAACACCTTGTCAGATCTATTTGTGTGGGCTGGCATGCAGTCATCCAATTCTTTATGTAATGAGCCAAAACAGGCAACTTTAAGAAGTGCCAAATCCGTGTTTAATCACCTGGTGTTGATGTAATCCTCCGTCAAATTCACAAAAGCATAATTGCGCGTCGCGGATTCCTGAAGTGTGTTTCTTCCCCGCCGCTGATCTCCGGTCTGCCCGACGGTGCGCTCCCCTCCGAGATGCTGAAGAGAAACCAGCCAGCTGATTGGCTGCCGCGCTCTGCTATGGGCTGTTTTCCTCTCGCCTCGGTGCTGGAGCTGTGATGGTGCCACAACGGTCAGTGGAGCCCTGATAAACAAGCCTTTTGGAGCATCTTTAGGTGATCCAAGAGGCGGTGATGGAACATGTAAACAAATGACCAGGAGTGTTTTATGTGAGGTCGTTGCAGCTTCATTAATAATCAACCAGGATGAACCCTTTCTGTGATCATGATAGTATGAGGACATGAGAGTCCAATGGTCACATACAGTAGCAATACAAGTTTTGTTTTAAATATGAGGTCACCTTGTTCCTGGCTCTTGTCCAGGGAAATGATGTCTTAATGTCCTGGTTGAACTCTTGGTGCACATATGGAAGTGACTCGAGCGACTACACTTTAAATCATGAGAAATGTTCTGCTGGAAAATGGATGCTTATCCTGCCAATACATCGGAACCTTAATCATCTGATGTCCAGTGAACTTACATAACAAGTAGATGGTTATACGGACTTTATGTAACCTCTAGTCTTACTCATGGTTTGAATTATATTGTTGCCAAGATCTCCAATATACAATGTAACCACAGGGGCAAACGTGCATGTCCATAAGCAAAAGGAAGGGCTCAGATCATGATGAAAACAGCGTGGACTGAGTGAAATCATTGCATGACATAATACTGTATAGTCTATTTTAGGCTGCTTCAGTTGCGCCACAGTGTGGTTAAAAGATGCACTTTTTTTTTTTTTATAAATATCCCCCTCAAATAATTCCTATTTACACAACTTGTTTTGGTTGTGGAATGAACACATAGAATAATGGTCTTTTTTGTTAACTCATACCAATATACTTCACTAAAACAATATAATTTCTTTAATGAATTAACATTAATGCTGCTGATATCTAGTGGTAAAATATGTTACAGCCTACAGCTGTATTTCAACAAAGAGTTCAAGCAGAGATGTTAGATAATAGAATAACAACACATATCCTTCCTCATCATTGAATTTCAGCAGAGAAAGCTCAGTTCTGACTTCTTCCAGGTCCATTTCTGTGGCTACAGCCAGTTAAACAAATGTTGCTGTTCCCCTCTAGACACATCCATTTGATTATCAGTTGGTGATACACTTTATTTTACTCGCGAACAATTTAATTTAAGGTGGAAATTCTTCCCTAAATTGTAGCCTTGAGCATCGATCTCTCTGGTGATGTTTTTTTACATCTCGCTGAATGGCTGAAAAGGATGTTTTACATCAACGTACAGGGCTCTATTTGGATCTCAATCAAAGGACCCTCTTCAATGCTTTGTTTTACCCACTTTTGCTGATGAATCAGTGGTTCATACTGTATGTTGCTGACAAATCCATTCAGATACGTACTGTACAGTATTTCGTGTTAGAAACTGTAAAAACGTGTAGAAGCTCAGACTTTCAAAACATTAAGAGTTTAATTTAATATTTTTACTATCAAAAACAGTCTCTAAACACCATCAGTTTTGAGAAATCATTCAATAATAAATACAATTCACAGTGCACTCCACTACTTCCAGTGAGGCTATTCATTTTGCCATAAAAGGCTTTCTCTTTGGACATCAGATACAATGATAAGAGGCTGAACGTTACTGCCAGTACATTTCTTGATCCCATTTGGCTTGGAATATGAACAGTAAACTGTTTGAGAAACATGCCAAAATCTGTCCGTTTATCTGACTCGGTGTAGTGGAATAGGGGCCGACCTGGAAGTGGGGCCGGACTTTGGCTCTCTTTTCAAAAGTCGGTGAGATAAAACAATGTTTTAAATCATTCAAAAGGTTGTCATAAAAAAGTGCAGATAAAAAAAAAGAAAAGAAACACAATGACGGCTTCACAGTTCAGACTGCATACAAAATATCCACTGGAGGACAAAAACATTCCATGAAGTTCAAGACGTCCTCTGTCCAGATCACAATGCTCCGTGTGATTGTGTCGCAAATGTTTCTTGATAAAATAATAAATCCTCAGAGCAGCTTATCCCGATGCACCGCCATACGGACATCAGGTACTGCTAAGTGTCATCTGGAGTCATAACGGCGCTGCCCAGAGGGTCCTGCACTCCTGGAACTCTGTGAGCAGACGTCACAACGCCGCTCTGAGCCTCTTCAGGAATCAAGAGGAGATAAGTATTATTTACAAACTGTATGGACTAATATTCGTTTGTAATCCATATGCTGACAAAAGTCCTTAAATCTGTCTGCAATTGATATGTATAAATACTTTATTTACACTGTAATGCAGTCCAATCATTCTGTATTTTGTAATATTTTTGCATCTCTGGCATCTTAAATTAGGCTGATGCAAAAAAAGTGTAGATATAATTGTCAAACTCTTACTTGCTGCGTTTTTTGTGGGATTTTCTGTGCCATAATGGAAACTGTTCTCTTTATCTGCCGATTTCCTAAAGGTTTCCAACTAGAAAGCAAGCAGGTTTCAATGTAGTATACTTTTATCTTTAGATTTTTTTTCTATGTCTTTGTAAAGCACCTTTTTACTTTATGAAAAGTTGTTATTTTTATAACCCATTTGATGCATGTCAAATAATTCAACAGATATACATAGTAGACACACTTACCTCAGTGCATATGGACTCTGAAAATCGGCTTGTGAGTGAGCCTTTATTTTGCAATTTGCAGGTACTGCAGGAAAACCAGAGTGATATTAACTCACCTCCAAATTAGCTTAAATAAGAGAACAACAAGATCTGTAAGGAATGTGTTTTACCCAGAACTCTGTGATAATGCTGGCTCACAGTCAATGGAGGTATCTTGACTCTTTAAAAAAAAAAAAAAAAGGAAAATTAAATGTTTTTATACACAAGAGATTAACTAAATGCCACCCAGTGTGAGGCAGGACGCGTCTCACCTGTAGGGTCTTGTTATGGATTTTCACATCTTTTGGATTTTCTGATTCAGATTTTCTGCCTTCTTTTTGGCGCTGCGTCTTTATATAATCATACGTGCTTATGCCTTTAAAAACTGAAAAGCAAAGAAGAGTGAGAATGATTGTCTGAATGAAGGGAAATGAACCTAATGAAAATGTCTGTCTTGAAGATTGGGACTCACAGAGGTAACAGTGAAAGCCCAGCAGATGAGCGAGCAGCAGCAGGCAGGCGATGCTCAGCATGGCTGTCACAAAGGCTAAGATAAGCAGAGCAGCTGAACTAGTCTTTATGGGTGCTAAGGGTAAAAACACCAGCCAGGTACTGTTCCCCAGCAGATCTACAGAAAGAAGGAGCAAAGAACAATTACACAGAAACAGCTTTTAACAACAATATGATCAAAGTCGTTTCTAAAAGTTCAATATTATGGTGACTCACTGTGAAACTGTGGGGCAGTCCGGAGGCTGTCTGGATTCAAGTAATGCTGAATACATATGAACAAGATGACAACAACGAGAATGAAGACACCAAGCGTAGCAGAGCACAGTGCCACAAAGAAGCACCTGAAGGCAACACACAAAACCTGTTGTTAGTTTATACAGCATGTCACGTTTCATTTGGTCAGCGGCTAAGAAGTCAGAACCAGAAAGTCCCTCCATGTTGTCTTACCAGTAGTTTCTGCCCCCCACACACGTGTTCAGCCATTGGCAATGGTGATCAAAGTCTTCCACACACTTGTTGCAAACACCACAGTGTTTAACGTTGGGGCCACTACGGAAATATGGTAAATATCATTAAACACAACTTTTGAATGATTGCAAGAATATATAGCTGTCAATTTAAAAAGGCAAAATCACATAAACATTTATTTCTAAATATACTAATTATATTCATTATTAGTAATCTGCTAATTATTTTTTAGATGGATGAATTGTTTGGTTCATAAAATTACAGAGAAAAGTAAAAAGTGTCGATTCCCGGTTTCTCAAGGTGATCTTTTTAAATGTCTTGTTTTATCAAAAGGAAAACCCAAAGATATTCAGTGTAATATAAAAACAGAGAAAAGCAGATTTGATTTGAAGCATTCAGCTGGATGGATTGTCAAAACTGTTGGCCATTGTTTTTCGTTTCACTTGATAATCGATCAATGGACTGATTAGAATACTTACACCTTGACATCACAAAGATAACAGTGTAGATCCTTGATGACATGCGGTTGCTTCATCCGGTCAAAAAAGGGCATTGGATTTGAGTAGCTCTGTTTGGCCCTCACACTGGCATCTGCTGGGTCTATAGTGGCAGCTGCAATATGGGTGAAAAAGTGCAAAACAAAAGCTATGCCAATCACCTGTACACAACAAGAGTCAAGGAAAATAGCAAACATTTTAGAACAATCCTGCAATATGTGATAATGCAGTAGAGAATAGTAGATGGCAGTAAGAGAAACTGCAAACTGGTGCACACAAGTGAACCAGTTTTGTGTGTCTGAAGAAATCGACTGTTCTTATGACTGAGTAAAATGAACCAGTGTTGACATCACGCTGCATCCAACATGTGACAAAAACACCAATGATGTCTCTTGGGCTTTATAGAGACTACAGAACTATAGATAGTGACATCTGGTGTGACTAAGGCCCATACACACACACCAACATCTTTGTCTTGTCCAGCGGCCCAAACAAAACTGTAGCAGAGACCACATATTCAAATCTGAAAGACCCATTGCTACACACTTAACAGTCAGCTACAACAACACAGTATCGGCTGTGTGTGTTAAGGATACAGAATAGACCACATGGTTCCATGGCGGAGGCAGAAGAGGGATATAGATGCCGAAGCTGACGATCCCGAGGTAGCTGTACACCAGCCAGCCGACTACTTGGAAAGCCTGAGGGGGCCACGACCATCCGTTCATCCTGGGAGGTTTTGAGGGGACCAGTTCATTTGTACTGCTGCCATGTATGGGAGATGTGCGTCTCAGCTTTTTGTTGAAGCAGTTCATCTGGAGAATAAACAGTCAGATTAAAAAAATCTTCCTCCAAGCACCTTCAAACCTCCGTCCACACATTACACACACTACAAGTCCAGTTCCAGCAGAGTGTGTCTGTATTTGCTGGGGAAATGAGTTAGGAAAATGAGTTGAGCATGATGATAGTGACTGTTCAGCCATTATGGTACAACACTCAGACTAGTGTAGCTAATACACTGGCAACTAATACAACAGCCTTAACACATTTTATTAAAATAAATAATTCAGAGACAAAATGATAATATACAACAACAACAACAAAACTACAGCTTTCTAAACTGAAATTAACAAAAACTCAGACTGTAAACTTTTTGAGGGTATGAGTCATTGCAAAGCTGTTGTTTTACATTTCATTACTTTTACAATAGTCTACCTCATAAACTGACATTGCTGTGTATTGTGTGACAGAGGCAGTACAATAATTGTGCTTTATCCATTCTAACAAATGGACAGGATCAATGGGTATACATAACAAGGAGCATATTGTGACATATTGCCTACAGAAAAACAGCTGATCAATTGTAAAACAGTGACACAAAGTAGCCTACTACAGTACATGCATTTCCTTAAAATGGCCTTGGAATCACATGGTTTGCTTCTGGCTTGTAGCCTGACACAACTCCATCAAATAGCCTAAAAAAGACTACAGTAGCAACAATGTTTTAAGTCAACCCATCAACTTGTTAGTCTTGTCTTCAGACCCATTGGTTTTGTTGCCTCCGTTTTTCTTAACAACTGCAGGCTTATGTTGGTTGTCTGCTTTAGCTCACCCTGCGTTTTGTGTTTAATTTACAATTCAAATCATTTCAACGGCTCAATAGAGACCACAAAGTAACACCGAAAATACCCTAGCGTTAAGGACAATAGTAATGTATGAAGCTTTAATCCATGAACACAATACTTACTTTTGCCGTTGAAAGAAATCGACAATGAGATGAAACAAAAATATTCCTGTTCAGATGCTGACGGAGATTTCCACCGTTTGATATCCCATAATTAGAGTATCCGCTTCAAAATGTACAATTCACATAATGAAATAAAAGGCCAATAAATAAACCGAAACAATTAAAAGCGTAAAAAGGATAAAATAATCCGACGTCCTCGGGATTGTGTCACCGAGGGACCTGAATCAGAAGTTGAAGAATCAACTCACTCAGCAGGTCGGAGCGGCGCTATGGAAACCGTCCTACTGCGCATGTGCAATACAGCTCTCCTCAAGACACACAGCTCCTTTTTATTGTGGCCCTTCACTGAGTGGATAACTGCGTATAGGCTACTGCTTGTCAAACTAACCGTATTTGCTGTCCTTTTACATACTTTTAACCCCTGGAGAATATAAACCCCTCAAGAATAGCCAGTGGTTACCATGATAGCATAAGGGAAATGCTATCATAGAGTTGCACGACACTTTTGCTTTTATAAGACCCATTTTTAAATCTTAAACCTCCCATGTAACAATATGCTGAATGTCAACTGCTTGCTTGTCGCTTTTTTTTTACTTCCCTTTTGTGTATCAGTAGTGAAAAAAAGCTAATTTTGCTCAGTTAAAACACAGAAGTTTACTTGGCCGGATAATCTTACAACATCCTCTAGCTGCAATTGCACTACATTCCGATGGGTTTTATACATGTTGACAGTTCCCACAGCATATTTGTTGCATAATGCAGCTGATAACAGTTTCTATTTGGCTTATTTAACCACACACATTTATAAATACAGGTGCAAGATTTTATTTTTCAGTTGTTTCACAAATACAAAAACATACAATGACACTACAAACATCCTGTACAATCATATTTAGTCTCTAAAAAGGTCAGAGTCTCCTGCAGTCTTTAAATCAGTCCAAGACTGAGTACCCAGTGCTGTTAACACCAGGATAACAAAATGGCAGTGTGTGTGGTCAGCTGTTAGATGTGCTCTCTGGCTCCGGAGATTGCAGAAACTCGTAGGGGTCTGGAACCATTTCAGACTGGTCCCCAACACCCAGGTGTGATGGGCTCCCTGTGGAGAGAGAAAATATGGCTCTAATGTTGTGGCACTGGTGTAACTAGTTGATATTTACCCAGAAACTGAGCAACACAGAATTACGGAACATTATCATACTAATGACACTAATGTGATATTAAAATTGTAGCTAAAAAGGCAATAGCAGGGATCCTAGTTTTGTCCTATGGCAGATACCTAGATGATGCTGGTCCCTCTCTGAGGCATTAGAGAGGGAGGACAGGTTGGACGATGGTCTGGAGCCGACTCTATCCACCTGAGCGTCCTGGAACTCCTGCAGGAGTTTGTCTGCTTCATCAAATTGCTGCTGGCCATCCTCGTTACACGGCTCCTTTTTAACTGTTTTACCTGATGGAAAAAAGGAAAGATCATTTGAATAAAAAATGCCACCAGCATATATAGCAGAAAAAGAGGAGTAGAGGATTATATCCAACAAGTCTGTAAGGCAAGTAGCAATCAAGTAGTTTGAATTCAGTGTGTGTTTCATAATGTAGTAAAAATCTCTTAAAACAATTATTGTGAATATACAGCTCCACACATTATCTTGTTATGCCTACTGTGAAAAATAGCATTATCCCATTAACGCAAGTTATGCACTTTCATAATCTTCACCTTCTCATTTCCATTTCTTAATGAGGTAAATGGATTATTGGAGTACATGTTAATGTAGCCACTGACAGTGTTGATGGGGGAAATCACCTAATGAGTTCAGCATGGATATTTCCAGAGACATATCTGGGTAGTTCTTCATTGACATGAAGTCCAGGACTGAGCCACTGTCTCCCAGGCCGCTGCCGTCTGCCATCTGGACAGAAATACACAGCTTCAATCAGACAAATACAGGCAAAGATTTGAATTCACCATCACTGTTTTATAAACTACAGCATACCTGCATGTCACAGATGTTGGATTTGGTTTCATCGGGTTTAAGCATGATATTTCGTTTCTGAAATGTAAAATGAGCATCAAACACATGATAGGCCAGAGAGCAGAGTGTGCTATAATTGGTCAAGAATACCGTGGAGACTGGTAGCAATGTAATTCTGTACATCAAGTATAAAGTTAGATACCTGTCGGATTTGATTGACAGCTTTAGTGTGATCGTCTGCAGTCATCTTGTCCAGAAGCGTGTCGACCCAATGCTTCGTGACACCGCTGCAGCCCTTGACAAACTCCTGTATACTGAGGGAGAAAGTGAACATGTTGAGAACTGGAAAGCAAAGAATGGGGACACATTAATTTAAATTTAAGTGTAACCTATGATAGAAAAATCCCTTACCTGAGAGCACATTGTACTCCTGTGTCATCACCATAGGCTGAATAAAGCATGTCCACCTCATCAGGTTGCAGGTCTGGATAGATGGAGTTATTCTGAAGGGTCTGGACGTTGTAGGCACTGCTCAGAAAAGTCACTATACAGAACAAGAGAAAGGCAACATCTGTTATAGGTCATAGACTTTGTTGCAATTTCTAGCAAAAATGTTATTAATTTGGTTTGAATAATGGTAATTAGAGCCTGTTGCCATACCTTTGTGTCTCCTGTCATCTTTGAAACCCAAAGTTGTTAATCCCGGCAGAAGCTTATTTGACAAAGAGCTCAGGTCCACTTTATGAGTGTCCACTTCTGCAAGAAAAAAAGGATAATCATACTAATGTAGCTCCAATCATGTGTGAACATAGGGCTTTGAAATCTGTATAAAAGATAAATTATCACGATGATGACAAACCTTCTACCTCAGGTTCAAGCTGATTTACAACCGTATAAAGAAGAGAACTGTCTGCTTCTTTACGCAGATAGCCCATCTGAAAACACAGAAGATAATTTGTCAATAAAAACAGAAGAAGCCTGAAATATATATTCAATGTTCTGCGTATTTTGTTTGTCTTCTACTGCTGATATTTATATCTTTATTGTTTTTGTTTTTATTCTCATTCATGTGCAATGTCTTATCTATGCTGCTGTGACTGAAGCACATCCCAACAATGGGATCAATAAAGTATATCTCATCCAAATCCTAACCACCAATTTGTCAGTTCTTCTCATAAAACATAGCTAGAAATGGTATGTATACATAGAAACAATAGACACATTAAAAGGAAAACCTTGGAGTTGGGCATGTATCTGTTGAGCCGATCCCGAGCTTCATCAGCTGAATGCTCAACGAGTGCCAGGACGTGCTCCTCTGCTGTACTGTCAGTCAAGCTGCAAGCGTTCCCCTCTGGTTCAAACAGGTAACTGGAACAACACAAATAACAGCGTTACAGCAATATTATACTGACAGGGTGCTAAATCAGAGGCACATCAAATAAGCAGGACTTTCCTCCATGCTCTTTTTGACATTTATTATATTATTTCATAAATGTGCACAAAAGTCACATTTAATCTAGATTACCTGATTTCCTTCATGTCCTTGACTGGTTGTTTCTTGGACTTCTTAGCTGATTCCACTGGGCTGGGGATTATCTCTGGAGGAGGTAAATCATCTTCAAGATCTTCATCTCCCAAAATGGCTGCCTGCTGGGTGTAGTCCATTTCCTGCATAAAGGACATGCTGCGTTTCAAAGCCAGAAGCCGCTCCTGTACAAAGGGCAGAGGATAATAGGGCACCACTTATTGTGACTGGCTACTTTACTGTAAATGTATGGATAATGTATGGATGTAGGGATGGTTTTGATGATTAGAGTGAGTTTTTAAAGGGGAGATCCACCCTCAAATAATATTGTTGACATTACAATAAGATCTGATCATCAAGACTTGAGTTTTATGTATGTGTAGGGCTGATTATGCTCTGCTGCTGGGCAGTGGAAAATGTCATAGTACTTTGAATACATTCCATCATACACTGTAAATGGAGCAGTGCCACGCTTACACTCCAGGTGACATCATTACTGCTGTCTGTCTGCCTGACGTATATTTCAAATGTATTAATATTCAAATATTAAACTAAAATGTACAATTTGTGGAAATATATTTTAAGGCAGATATGTAGTGATACATTTCTTGTAAAAAAAATACTTGAAAAGGAAGTGAAGTACTAAAACAAGTAAATTATTTTTCAATTAAGCCAGTAAACAAGACAGCTAAGCTGGTTTCATCGTCGCTTTGACCACATTACCTTGCTCATCATCTTGAATCCTGTGTGGAGCAGCTTCTTGGCAGCCTTGTAATAGACGGTCTCTGGTCGATTGTACACCATGGCGTTGTCACACATCAGTTTGAAGTCCCCCTGAAGGCAAAACATTGCTCGAACAGGTATTAAGACAAACTTGTTTTGCTGGCACTTTCTTACACAGTATAATACAAATACATATTCAACATCCCAACTTTCTCCTTGTGTTGAAAACTCTCCTCACCTTAAATTCTGTAACTGTGTTGTAATCGTTGTTCATAATCTTGTCCTTCATGGTGCTGAAGTCCATAGGATGTTTGATGATCATTGAGTAGCCGGGAGCGATTGCATCTGTTACTGGAAATGAGAAGAATCCATGGGGGTCTTTCCTGAAAGAACAAGTAGTGCATAACATTATTCAATACAGCACCAAGCTTAAGATGTGTTCAGACTAGTGTTGCGCAAGTGTTGGGATCATGTTAGCGCACGTTATCTTTCAGGTCAATACGATCAATATAAATGGATCTTGCTGTGTTGTGATTCGAAGAACCAGACCACATTGTACTGTGGACTTAACGTTTGCTCTGACGTTGTCCTAGTGTTGATAACAACATCTGGCTTAAACATCAGAAGTCACACACAACGTTTCTATCAAAACATGACTGACACTACCCTCCAGATTATAAATACAGAAATAGAATATAGGCAAAATATACTACCTGTAAATGCAGCAATGTTTATTTCCCCCAACAATATTTTGTATGTAGGTGTTGCGAAAACCACAACATGCAAACTTTGCTCTTCTTAGATTCTTACTGGGGTTAGAGGAAAGTCATTGTAATCTGCTTTCAGGACATTTAATGTACATTTGTAAATTTGACATTCTAAATATACAAAGTTGACATTTGGTTTCACGTTTCGGGCAGTATGATTGGGCTCATTCATTACCAGTGTAATATGCAAATAAATGTATGATATGTTTGTGCTAGATGGTTTAAGAACAACACAAATCCATATGAAGCTTAATCAAATCAAGTTGTATTTAGCAACATAGCACCATCACTGCCACAATGAAAGTGGTAAATGATATTACGAGTATTTTAGATAATAAGCAGAGTTGTGCAGCTCTATTTGTTGACCTATCCAAAGCTTTTGATACTGTCGATCATTGCATTTTGAAGCAAAGGCTGGTCAGTATAGGCATGTCCAGCCATGCAGTAGGGTGGTTTGTAAACTACCTCTCTGAAAGATCCCAATGTGTTCAGTTTGATGGGCTGTCTTCTGAGTGGTTAAACATCACTAATGGTGTACCACAAGGTTCAGTTTTAGGTCCGCTATTATTCTCTATCTATATTAATAGTTTAGGTGAAAATGTCGAAGGAGCAACCTTACATTTGTATGCGGACGATACCGTGCTGTACTGTGCAGGTCCCTCGATTAACGAGGCTGTTGTTAAATTACAGGCTGTTTTTAACATTATTCAGACTCAGCTCTCTGAGCTTAAGCTTCTTTTAAATGTGGATAAAACCAAGGTAATGCACTTTTCTAAAGCTAAAGCTAAAAATACACCAGAGACTGCTTTGGATATTGTAACTACGCAAGGAATACAACTTGAAGTGGTTACCTGTTACAAATACTTGGGTATCTGGCTTGATGACTGTCTCACTTTTAAACTTCATGTCAATAACCTGCTTAAAAAGCTGAGGGTTAGGCTAGGTTTCTTTTACAGAAATAAGTCCTGTTTCTCGCTTGAGGCCAGGAAAAGGCTAGTCACTGTGACCTTTTTACCTGTGCTGGATTATGGTGATTTGTTATATATGAATGCACCTGCCAATTACCTGAGCAAGTTAGATGCTGCGTATCACAGTGCACTGAGATGTTTGACAAATTGTAAAGCACTTACGCATCACTGTACCCTGTATACCAAGGCGGTTATGCCATCACTTACTGTACGGAGGCTCAGTCACTGGTACTTTTTCATTTACAAAGCCATGTTGGATAAACTACCATCTTATATCTGCTCCCTGATCTCTCTGCGAATTGAAAGTACTTATTGCCTGAGATCGCATGCTGTGGTTTTATTAAATGTGCCAAGTGCTAGGACTGTCTTAGGGAAGAAAGCTTTTAGATGTGCAGCTCCACTAACATGGAACAGTCTGCAAAAAGAATGGAAAATTACCAAGCTAGTACCACTACATGTTTTTAAAGCTCGGTTGGATGCTACAAAATCAGATGCTGTTGGTACCTGTACATGTGGTTAAATATGCAAATTGTAATCCCTGTACATTTTGCTGTATGATGTCCTTTTGTTGTTCTGTTGTTTATGTCTTTATGTCTTCTTGTGGAACCTACTGCTGCAGGTCTCCCTTGAAAAAGAGATCATTGATCTCAATGGGATTTTACCTGGATAAATAAAGGTTTTGAATTGAATTGAATTGATATAGCACATTTATAAACGATTTTTGGTCGAGCCAAAGTGCTGTACATAAAATAAAAATAGCCTACAGTTATTTAGGAACATGTATCATTCTGCCTTGCCCTTAACCCTTAGTCTTTATGCTTCTGGATCTTTAACATATTGAACAACGGTCTCTAATTATAGCTCTTGAGAAGCAGCATTGTGGCAATGAGGATGAAGGACAGAATGTTGACAATACATGTGGATGCTGCAATTAGAGTGAAATCAGTGTATCTCACCTCTGCAGCTGCCTCAGAAAGTGCTCCAGCAGTTGTTGACGAGGAGTGGATTCACTCTCTGCATTTGGAAAACATATGGAAATACAGGTATTTACGAACACATCTACAAGTAAATAATTGCCAAAAGGAGAAGTAATGTTTGCTTCTCAAATCGTTTAGATATTGTTCTGATCGAGAGGTAGGCATTCTCACCTTGTTGTGTCCTGCATGCTCGGACCGGCCTGTCTCCCAGCGGATCTCCTTCCATCTTCCCATCGGGGTCAAACTCATCCATTTCGTCTTCTAGCTCAAACTCTCTATCTCTCTCTCGCTCTTTCTTCTTTTTCTTCTCCTCTGGCTAATGAGATACAGTCATGTTGTGAGGGAGGGAATCATTAAGAAGCTTTTGGGTATATTTAGCAGGGCTACGTTATTTTACTCACCTCTAGTCCAATACTTATGCTTATGCTACTTTTTGGCAATGTGAAAGGTTCAACAGCCACACCGACGTTGCTGGGAGCAGTAGAAGCTGCAGCCTCTGATTCGTTCTGCTCTCGCTCTCTCTTCTTCCTCTTTTCCTCCTTTGGTATAGGATCAAAACCAGTTTTTAACTTACAAAGGCACCAAACACAGATGCAAATGGTATAATGTTCTTTTGTAAACTAACCTTCCGCCGTCTTCTCTCATCATCATCGGCATATTTGTCTTTATCCTTTTCAGATTTTTTCTTCTTCTTCTTTTTTTTGTCTTTGTGCCGTTCCCGGTCATGGTCTGATCTGTCGTCGTAGTAGCTGGAGTCATGGCCCGAACCAGAGAGCTCCGTCACCTCACTTCCTCCAACTTTGAGCACAAGCTTCAGGGGCTTCTCAAGAGCCTTGTCTTCACAGTCTAAAGCCAAAATAAACAACATTGAAGGCAGGAGTAGAGATAACAATTCATGATGCAAGGTGAAAAGTTGTGGAAGGAGTACGTGAACATTAAGTACAATGTTTATTAATATGATAGGAATCTTGCAAGTTTTCTCTGCTATTACTTTAAACGCTAAATATGTGGTGTATTGTAAAACAAGTAGCTATAATAAACTTTTGTAGAAAACCTTCCACTGTATGTTGAATGATTGGGTTTGATGGAATTTTACTGTGTTGTGTTAGTGTAGTGTAGAAGATGACTTGTGCTTTTGCTCAACTGTTTGTGTTGCAATTATTAACTACAATTTTAAAATCACAATGCAAAAGAAAGGAGATAGATACAACTGTCTCAACAATGTTTTCATCAGATATAACCGCATAATATGTTTATAAATACAACTACACAACCCTGACTTCACATGAAAATAATATTTTGCCTTTCTCTTAATTTAATTTAACTGTGCAATACTCTGGTTAACTCTGGCTATGGGCTATTAATCCCATTTCTTCCCATTCTCCTTATTATTATTATTATTATTATTATGTATACGGTTGTATATTATAGAATACATATTTTAAAGTATTGCCTTATAATGTATCTTACAATGTAAAACAACTAAACCCGTGATACATAAACAAACACGAACAATATTGATTACTATCCGATTTACTTGGACTTTTAGCAGGACATCATAACAGAGATGTGTGGGATGTGCACCCTGTTGGTTGATAAGAACATACATTCATAACAAAAACAATGCAAATCTGATGTCACTTGAGCTAACCAGGTAAGCTAGGCTAGCTAACGAAAAGCTAGCTAAAACAAAAGCAGTAACTATTATTTGAATATGCATTCGGGTACCATCAACTGTTCTCCACTCCGGCTTATGTTTCTTGTGTTTTTTCCCCATCTCTCCGTGTTTTATATCCGAAGATTTGACTTTATTCCAATTATATTGCAAGTAGTCGCTAGCTTTACTGTAGCTCTGCAGCAAAAAAGCTAGCGGCGGAAGTGATACAGAAATCAAATGAAGCACTTCCGGGTTTAACTAATCGGCGCGGAATTTGAGCGAGTGTTGTCGGCTTTCTGACAGCGGACCGTCCGTAGTTTCTTGGCTGGGTACCACAACTTTGGTGGATGCAAGTATTCCCAGTCTTGTCTTAAATGGTGTGAGGTATGTTTACAGTTGTGTTAATGTAGTAGACTGACTGATAAGCTTCAGCTACTACTTGAGATACGTTAACGTTAGCCACCTAAGTTAGCTAGCTAAAGCTCACTATCGCTTAAGTTACCTAGCTAACGTTTAGCAAATAGTAAACAATGCTGCAATAAAGTCATGATTGTTGCTTTGTTGTCTGCAGCTTTGCAGAGATGGACGGCGACAGAATGGAGGTGGGAAACCAGAAACAAGACATCAATGTGGAAGTCCATGTTAAATCTCACAGGTGGGCAGGCTAAGTAGTTTAAACATTACTACAACGTGACTTCACTATTATGTAACAACTCTTTTTATGGGGTTCTTTTATTTGGGGTTAAGTACATTGTCAGAATAAGTGAGAAATGGATTTAACTTCTGTTAGACAGCCATATGCCATACATTCACAGTAAATATGTATTCAGTATGATAGCTGTCCAACAGACAGACGAATCAGATGATTAAACATGATCTTAAATTATTTTATATATATATATATTTTAATTTATTTTTTGCATTTTGTTGTAATCATTATTTGTAATACTTTCTGCTGACACTAGGTGGGGCTGTGCCCCACCTTCTCCTAATGACCAGTCGCCACTGGTTATACTAATGATAACCAATAATGTAATTGCGCTTTTCCAATTATTGTTTGCATTTCAGCACAGCTAAACGGTCCGAGGTGAGGATTCATGTTCTGGCTCTTCTGAATCGCCACAGCATGGTTTTTGGAAACTACAGATGGACAGAGTTTGATGAGGACTACCTGCAGAAACATGTGGAGTCTGTGGCTATAGTTGATGTTGAGGAACTGGTCACACAGGTCTGTTACTTGCAATTATATTCCATCATTTTGTTTCTCATTATAGTAATAATGATTAGCAGTTGTTAAGCCCCATTTGTTCCCCCTGCTTAGCCTCTGGATTTGAAGAGCTGCTCTGTCTCCGTTCACATCTTCACTCTGAATGAGGATGGACCCAGCACGCTCAGTTTGGAGGAGGATGAGGAGCTTTCAGCAGCCAATCACTGGTTGCTGCCAGCAGGTGACACTTCCAGACATGGAGAAGGATAACATGTTGAATAGAAAACATCTTGACGAAAAGGCTTGCCTTCTTAGTTTGAAAAGTTGGAGAGCCAGCAATAACTTAAAACAGGAAGGCATAATTTTGGCATGCAATGTGTTATTTCTATATGAGTTAATGTATACTTCAAAAAGGATGAATCACATCTCCTATAGGTGAGAAGGTGATCATGCGGATGTTACAGAAATATGCAGCTGAATTAATGGGCGAAGTGCTGACAACAAACAAAGACAGAACAAAAAGACTGAAGCAAACTGATTGACACTCCCTGTTGGCTTTATTTATTTTTTATTTGCTTGGATTCATCTTATGAATATGAATCTATGTTTGTCTCATTTAAATTAAATATCTGCTGAATGTTCCCCTCAATTCCTCTATCTAATTTTCACAGCTGAATTCCATGGGATATGGGAGAGTCTGGTATATGAGAGCGGAGTAAAAACCCAGGTAAAACACATTAACTGGCAGTTGTGAGAACATGATTGCATAACTATTTCACTGCTCAACTTCTCATTGTTTACATTTTCCTTCAGCTCCTGGATTATGTCACAACAACAATTTACTTCTCGGATAAAAATGTCAACAGCAACCTGATTTCGTGGAACCGTGTAGTGCTCCTTCACGGTAAATAACAAAGAAGATATCACCTTTTTATCCATTGAGGTTGAAGTGTCTGAAATGGGTGTGTGAAAAGTGGTTTTTCATTGTTTGTCCAGGCCCCCCAGGCACAGGGAAAACATCACTCTGCAAAGCTCTCGCCCAGAAGCTGTCAATCAGACTGTCGAGTCGGTAAGACAATCCTAATTTTAGTGTAACAGCTTCAGCAGTAATTACACCTTCTCTTTTCATTTAAAAATACAATCCTCTCCCTGTAGGTATTCTTATGGGCAATTTGTGGAGATAAACAGCCACAGCTTGTTCTCAAAGTGGTTCTCAGAGGTACACCTGGCTCCTTTTAGGTTACCTTGTTTGATTAACAAATGTTCCAGATTGAATTGATGTTATTTTTATCATGCTTTTTTGTTACAGAGCGGTAAGCTGGTCACAAAGATGTTTCAAAAGATCCAACTGCTGATTGACGACAAAGACGCTCTTGTGTTTGTTCTTATAGATGAGGTAAAGATGAAATACTTTTATTGGAATCTGTATTATCTAAGCCCCTAAGATCCAATTATTATGAACACTCCTTCATAGGTTTGTTTCAGATTCACTTAGATCAACAAGCTGTCTTGTAAACTTTCTATACCTAATTATCTCCCGTTGATGTGACCATGGCTGCTCTTTTGTGAAAATGTTCATGGCGGGTAGGTGGAGAGTCTGACAGCAGCTAGGAGTGCCTGCCAGGCGGGGACAGAACCCTCTGACGCCATTAGAGTGGTCAATGCCGTTCTTACTCAGCTGGACCAGATCAAACGGTGAGGAAGGAAAATTGTCTATGTACTATTTTAGAACCACTCCCTTATAGCTTGTGACCATAAGCCTTAGTTTTGCATTCTTATAATCACTCTTATTTATCGTTTGCACTGGGAAAGCCTTCCGTCATACTTTGAATTAGTCCCATTTAAACAAGTTTGTTTTGTGTTGACTTTTGGGCTCATATTTTAGACATCCCAATGTGGTGATTCTGACGACCTCGAATGTGACGGACAAGATAGACTTGGCGTTTGTGGACAGAGCTGACATCAAGCAGTACATCGGACCTCCATCAGAGAAGGGCATCTACAACATCTACCTGTCCTGCCTGGAGGAGCTGATGAAGGTGACCCAACACTCACTAACATTGTGTCGTTATTTGCAATTATTCATATTTTTTGTGTCCACTGATGAAAGGGTTGGTGGTTCAACCCCCATGTTTTTCTGTCCATGTGTCGAGTGTACTTAAACGAGACTCTCCCCAAATCCCCCCAATGGTTGTAGGTCTATAGCAGTGTTTCTCAAACAAGGAGCACTTAACCAATAACAAAACACTCGCGGACCACCTAACTCCACAAATATCCAAAAACACATCGGTTTTCTAGAACAGATTACAAATCGCTTGAAAATGGTACAAACAGGTGGCAACATGTGTGACGAAGGTGTTGCGCTGGGCTATATCATTCAATCGAAAGTGAAACTTAACCTCGCTCCATTGTGGAGATATTCCCGCGAGAGTGCGGAAAACTTAAATGTATTTATTTATTTCAAATGTGAAATGTTACCAATATACTCATGGACCACTAGGGGGCGCTCACGGACCACCAGTGGTCCGCGGACCACACTTTGAGAAGCACTGGTCTATAGGTATACAAATGAAATGTTATGGTAGTATCATGTTTAACTCTTTTAACTCTTAACAAAACCTTAATAAACAGTTGTACTGCAAGTAACAATCATCCTAAATTAATTAGGATATTCATTTTCACTTTAACATTTGGTCTATATAATGTCAGAGAATAGTGAAAAATGGCCATTCTAGTTTCTTAAAGTGCAAAGTCATACCTTTTTTAAATGTCGAGTTTTGTCAGGCCAAAGCCTGAATAATTACGTTATTAGGATATAAAAGCATGAAATCTACATATTCCAATAAAATAAAAACTTGTATGGAAATAGTTGACGAATATGTTCTTGATTGACTATTCGTTTCAGCTCTAAGTAGCACAAAACAAAGACAACACTTAAAATATAATGGGCTGGATTGATGAATTGTGTCTGCTTCATGCTGTGTGATTTAGGTAACATCAAGCTGTCTTTGCCCTTTTCTGCTGTAACAATGTAAATGTCCCCTCTGTGGGACTAATAAAGGTATTCTGATCTGATTTGTGCAGTGCCAGATCATCTACCCCCGGCAGCAGCTGTTTACCATGTTTGAGCTGGAGACGATGCGCTTCGCCAAGAGTGAGGTGTCCGAGCACAGCCTGAACCTGAGGAGCATTGCTCAGTGAGTATGACCTCCCATTAGGGCTGTCCCGAATACCATTTTTCGGGCTCCGGATATTCGGTAGTAATCGGCAGCGAATATTCGGCCTGCTCCTTATTTTGAAGGAGAGTTAGCGCTGTTGACAGGAAGTTGTTGTTGCTATGGAAACAACGTGACGGAGAAAAAGTAATATCTACATATAAAGACGGAGAAAGTAAACGATAACGTTTATGCTTAAGTGTTAGCACCCCCCGAAGAGGCACAAGCTCTGACGTTGATATTGGAGTTTTCAATAAATAATAAAAAAAACGAAAATAACTAAATTTAAAACCCGAATAGTACTCCAACGAACGGATATTCGGATATTCGGGTACAGCCCTACCTCCCATAATGCAATAGAACCCAAATTGCACCATCTCCGTGCTCTTGTATAGCACTGAGTGCCGGTGGGAACTGAAACAGCCCGAGGCTTATGTTGTTTTTCTTTTCCTTTCCAGAAAAAGCAAAGGTTTGAGTGGAAGAGCACTCAGGAAGTTACCATTTCTAGCCCACGCGCTGTTCGTAAAGGTAAGAATTAGATTTTGTTCTTCCGAGTGTAGCGAGAAAAGAGTTGTTTGGTTTTCTTAACGCAGTTTGTTTGCCTGCAGACACCAACAGCAACCCTTGAGACTTTTATGGAGGCTATGCACCAAACAGTGGAGAAACAGAGGGAGGAAAAAGCTCATCTGGTGAACGGTATCTGAACTTTTACAAAGCCCAAAGGCTGACACATGAGCTCTCCTGTGGCTTGTTTGTTTGTAGTTAGATAGATCTTTAATTTTGTCATTGTACAGGTACAACGAAATTACAATTAAATCAAGGTGCCAAGCAATGAACTCAAGGTTTTGACCTTTAGATATTTTTTAACAAATACTATCGCTAACATAAATGTTTGTTCAGGTGATTCTATTGGTGCTGCTGCCAAGTTGGTTTTCAGTATTTGCAGTTTGGGTTAAGATGGAGTGCCAAATGCTTTGTGTTTTTTCTGATATTTTAATGTATTTTTATATTTAGCTTTACAGTGCCACCGTTTTTTGTCGGTTCCTTTTGTTAAAGGGATAGTTCACATCTGTATTGGCATACGTTACCTTTTGTAAAACACATTAGCTCCTTTCATGGATTGTTTTGAAGATATCTCATTGAGAGGTGGGAACTTTTTTAAATTCCCTTTTCTGGTGTTCATTTAAAAGTTGCTATCTCACTGAGCCAACTCCATCCACAGGATCTGTAGAAAAGGCTAATGTTCATGCAAGATACCGACTAATGTTGAGAAATGTGAACTTTCCCTTAAACATGTGTTTCAGAAAGGGATGTTTCTCATAGACTATCACTTACAAATGTTAAGTTATGTTTGTCAGTTCTATATTCATGTTAACAACAAATCCTCGTTAAACTCTGGATTAATGTGTTCATTACGACTTTATTTTGTATATAACTTTGTAATAAACAATATCTATTCTTTTCATGTTGGTTTTTGATATACAGATGCATTATGGAGGTTTGTATGGGATTAGTTTTGTATCATAAAGATAAAGCAACACTTTCTCAGAATAAAGCAAAACTATGAGTTTAAAAGAAGAAAAAAAAACTGAGTCAAGCAAAAATAAAAATACATTTCAAAAATCAAACTATAAGTTGCAAACAAATCATTTGTGTAATCATGTAAACTAAGTATTTTTTCTTTGTTTTAACATAGGTTTTTGTTTGCAGTTCTTGTTTCTTCTTTCTCAATGATCAGACTTTTGCTCTAGCTGCAGCTCTTCTCGTTTGCGCTCCCTCATTTTTTGTTTGAGATTCTGACACAAATCTCCCAGGTGGGCGGGACTTTCAGGGGTGCGTCCCCATTGGCTACTCAGTTTTTGAGTGACAGCCCAGTCCTCCAGCGATTGTACAGTGCAGGTAGCTGCGGTGCGGTAGCTGCCTGAGCGTGGATAGAACCTCTGCAGAAGAACCAGCATTTCAGTTATTATAATACTTATATAAGTGAAAATGTATGCAAGTATTGATCATTTGTGTTGTTTGTGCTGTACTATACGGTCTGTTTCTTTATTGTGTTAAGTGAGAAGTAAAGCTGTGCTATGAAGGTTAGCTTTTGCTACCTTTAGATCCATAACAATGCAAGCTAAGTAGCCTAACAGTTAGTTACATAGCTAGCAGTGAGTGAGCGTTCAGACCAGGCCCGGTTCCAGAACAAAATGACTCAGGAATTAGATTGAGATTGATTAGAGAGGGTGCAGTGGTAAAGTGCTATTTTTATAAGTAGGGAGTGGACCTAACACCCTCTAAGGGGTCCTCACCTTCTCTAGGGGGGTCTGGGGGCATGCTCCCCCGGGAAGATATTTTTTTAAATATTGAAGTTAAAAGCATCAATCTGGTGCACTTTCAGAGCAAAATGAAGAGATCTAAGGATACATCTCTCAACACCCATGTGAAACAGAACTGTAAAGTAAACAGATTTACTTTTTCTTTATGGATATTTTACAAATCACACCCCTTTAAGACCGAAATGTCATGCATAGCAGAAGATGGCATCTTTTTACAGGAATATTCCTGCCAATCTCTGTTTTGAAACCATGAGCTGCAAAATGAGTGCCTTACCCCACTGTACAGGCGAGTTGGGTAATTTTTTTTTATATACCTGGGCAGGCTCTGTTTTGCTGAGGTCCTCTGGCACTTGTTAGCCGCCGAGGGGTGGCGGTGTTTGGGGCAACGAAGACGGCTGCTCCGCCTCCGTGGGCGAGGCGGGCAAAGCCGGCGAGTTGTGCGGGAGGACGTTAGTGTCCACGACAGTGGCCGCGGGTAACGTAATGTCCCCATGATCTGAACTGTTATTACCTGCAGTAGATGCAGTGTTACTGCTGACGATAAGGGCTGGTTGTTTTAACCATTTTCTGATGTCCATCATTGACTGCTGTGTAAGCACCTTGCAGATGACGAACGCGCAGCGGCACAGGTCACGCGCACCTGACATAACGTTAATAGGTATACCGTTTTAATTGACCAAATAAATGCAGCAGACAATGTTATTTAACCACAATTACAATTTACTTTATTTCAACTATATTCTTGTTATTATTACTACTATTATTATTGTTATATATGTAATATTTTTCACTTTACTTTCTTTTCTTTTTTTTCCTTTTTTTTTTTTTCACTTTTAATTTTTCAAATGAGGGTGCATAACGACTCAACTGAGGGTGCAATGCACCCTTATGCACCCCCGTAGAACCGGGCCTAGTTCAGACACCGGCGCCTGACTCTACAAGTATCTGCAAGTATAACGGCCCGTCCACACTACAGCGTCGACAGCGTAGACAGCTTCAATCTGCCCATTCACATTGAATGGGGTGACGTCACGTTGCCTCTTTTTTTCGCCGACCTGAATTGTGGGTAGCATAGCTTTCCGTCTCCGCCGTCAGAAGTTGAACAGTTCAACTACCAGGCTGAGTCGGGCTGAGTATGCTAAACTAGAGAGAGAATCGCTGGCAAGGGGGCTACAACTATAACAAGATGAACATATTTACGGTTAGTAAAAACCATGAATTAATGCTTTGACAAGTCTGCAGACAGACGGCAGGCGAAAAACCCTTTTAAAATGCGTGTTTTCGAAATGGAGCTTGGCTAAGCTAACGTTATATATGCTCCGACCGTCCACACTCACAACAACTGGGGTTACGTACTGTAACCCAGTTTCTATGAGTATAGGCGCAGCCCTCTAAGGCTATCGCTATTGGGTAATCCCCACCGCACTGACGTGGGGCCCCACCTCCAGGCTCACTTCCGTATAAATAGGAAGTAGGCTCTACAATCCACTCCAACAGCTTTTCTTCAGCTATTCGCGGAACCAGTGGGGCCCGAACTAGAGGGCTGCGCCTAAACTCATAGAAACTGGGTTACAGTACGTAACCCCAGTTCTATATCGTATAAGGCTTCGACCTCTAAGGCTATCGCTATTGGGTTAAGGGCGAAGGATGCAGTCTATACGCCCCACTGGTTCCGTCTGTTACCAGAAGCACAAAACACACCTACTCAGTTAATAACCCATGTCCATTTCACCGTGCGTAAATGGAGCATCACATTCCCAGGGAATATAGCATTAAAAAATGAATATTTCTCCATCAGGGAACGAAGGTAGGGCTTACTCGGGCTACCTGTCGTTTATAAAAAGTAGAGATCGAGTCTCACTTGTTAAAAACGATCAAGAGAGGGGAACAAAAGGCCGCTCTCTAAGTACCGACAGGCAGGAGAGAGGGCATGCAATTGAAAAAAACCCGACATTACTCATTATGGCAGGCTATTCAGTACTGAATGTGTCAGAGAGGAATGGGAGACATCCCTCAAATAAAAACGAATAAAAGAACAGGGTGAAGACCAAGATGCAGCAATGCAAATGTCTTCCACTGCATTCCTCCGTGCAACGCCGTAGAAGTTGATATTCTCCTGGTGCTGTGCGCTTTAATGTTTTCCGGGGGATCCAACCCAGAGGAAACATACGCCTGTGACACAGCCTCACACAGCCAGTGTGACAGGCGCTGTGCCGACAGAGGCTGCCCTAATGAGCGCTCTCTATAATGCACAAACAGACGCTGGGATTTGCGTAAAGCAGCCGTGCGTGCAACATAGCATGCCAGCGCTCGCACAGGACAGAGGAGATGAGATGTGGCTTCCTCCTCTGATGTGTGAGGAGGAGGAAAGAAGCCATCCAAGGTTATCACTCTCGATCTAAACGAGCTTGTGATCACTTTTGGCATAAAAGCCGCGTCGGGCGCAACACCGCTGAGCTGCCATCTCCTTGGATCTGGAGACACGACGGAGCCACAGAGAGAGCAGACAAATCACTCACCCTTTTAGCTGATGTCAGAGCCAAGAGCAGAGCTACTTTGGCTGACAGAAACTTCAGGGGAACCTGATCTAATGGTTCAAAAGGAGCTTTACTTAGTGCGCGCAGCACTACAGCCAAATCCAATTGAGGCGCTAAAGCTTGTGATACCGGTCTGAGTCTCTGTACTCCTCGTAGGAAACGTTTTGTCAGAGGGTGACTAAACACCGTGCTGATCCCAAAACCTACATGGCATGAAGAAATGGCAGCCGCATATGTTTTTATCGCGCTATAGGCCAAATTCCTGTCCAGCAACAGCTGGAGGAATGACAGCACGTGAGGCAGGGGACACGCAACAGGGTCCAAGCCTTTCCCTACACACCAACGCTGAAACGCTGTCCATTTGGCTGTGTAAGACGCCCTGGTGGACGCGGCTCTAGATCCCTGAATAGTACTCACAACATCTTGAGAGAGGCCGAGCCCCTCTAAGTGTTCCCGTTCAGGGGCCATGCCCACAAAAGTTGGCCTAACACTGGGTGACCGCTGATTGCTCCCTCCACCTGGGAGAGAGCATCCCCGCGCCACGGAATTTCCCACGGTCTCCCTGACAGCATCCGCTGTATGCAGGGAAACCAGGACGCTCCTGTGCGCTCTGGGGCTATTAAGACCGCTATCAGTCGCTCCTCCTGCACTCGGTCCAGGAACCGAGGGATCAGAGGGACTGGTGGGAAAGCGTACAGTAACACCCTGGGCCAAGGTCTGTGTGCGAACGCGTCCACCCCCAGAAGGGGGTGATCCTGCCTTCTCAGGAAGAACCAGAGAGCACATTGCGCGTTCCCGCGTGCAGCGAACAGATCCACCTCCGCTCTCCCGAACCTGCTCCACACTTGGGAGACCAGCTCGGGGTGAAGGCTCCAGTCCCCTTGTCGAGGACCTCCTCTGGACATTAGGTCTGCCCCTCTGTTCAGCTCGCCGGGAATATATACTGCTCTGATCGAGAGTATGTGTGTGCGCGCCCAGCACAACAGCCGTCTGGCTGTGTCCAGCAGCTGCGCTGATCGTACACCTCCCTGACGATTTATGTAGGCTGCCGCCGTCTTGTTGTCTGTTCGAATCAACACATGATGATTCCACAGCAACGGGGCGAAGTGCTGGATTACTCTATGGCGAGTAATTCCAGCGTGTTTATATGAAGGGACATGTGAGGCGGCCACTGTCCCCCCACTGCCTGCGACATGCATGTTCCCCCCCACCCTGAAAGCGATGCGTCTGTAAACACAGAGATGTGTGACGTCACTCTGCCGAGGGGAACCCCCACTGACAGGACGTGGGGATTTGTAGGTCAGATCTAAACCTACGGATAGAGGAATGCACACCCTGCGTCTCCTCTGACGCACGGGGTCGATGCGCAGGCGAATAAACCACCTAAAGGACACCCAGAGGAATCACGTTTATCGTCCAGATAAAATAACACTCTCATCCCTCCTCTGCGTATAGCGGCTACAGCGCCGGGGAAGCCAGGGAATATCCGAACGGCAGTCGATTGAACTGGTACGCTATTCCTTGGAATGAAAAACGCAGGAATGTCCTGTGTTTTGGGATGATGGTTATGTGGAAGTAAGCATCCTTCAGGTCTATGGAGGTGCACCAATCTCCCTGGTGAACACACTCCATTACCTGTTTGATTGTCAGCATGTGAAACGGTCTTTTCCGTATCACTCTGTTGAATGCTGACAGAGGATGGGTCTCATCCCCCCGGTCTTTTTCGG